TCGTTCACTTAGCACTAATGACCTGGAAAAAGGCAGGAATCCATTTTCCCCGACCTATGGCGGAAATGACAGTGCTGACTAGACCCTTTACCTTTGGCAAGACAACTATTCTAGGAGAAGGACAACTCGGAATCCATAACCAGACAGAAGAAGTGTAGGCTCCATCAATTTGTCCTAGGCACACGCATTTGTTGGTATGGATGGAGAAAATTACACAAACGATCTTGAAATAATAAAAAATAAATTTATTTAATAAAATCGCCATTGGCTTCAACCACAGCTTTCATATGACTTCAGAATCTCCTGCAACTTTTCTGAACGGTCTCCTTGTTTAAGTGGGTGAATGCTGCCATAATCCTTGCCTTCAGGGCATCTTTGGTGTTACAAAGAGTTTTGTTGGTCTCTCACCCAACTGCGCCCCCCCCCCCATAATTATCAAGAGGGTCCGAGTCTGAGGAGTTAGGTGGCTAGATGCAAGGCGTAATGTGGTCGTAGATATTGTTGGACAACTATGGTTTCGTTCTCTTGCTTGTGTGGCATGGTGCAGAGTCCTGTTGCCAGATAGAGGATCTTCCAGCAGCCACCCTCTTGACCCAGAGCAGCAATACCTCCTTAAGTCACTTGATGTAGGCCTCTGCGTTGATTCTGAAGCCTTGTGGGAATGGAGGCATAATGTCGCCATCACTAGTGATCACTACAAACATCTGGATATATCATGTAACATTTTTTGAATTCTCTGCACTGTCCTCAGCGTAACACCCAAACTCTTTAAAATGTTAGTACTGGAGCTTTTGGTGCGAATGCCAAGCAGTACAACATGCCGTTTCCAAATGTATGGCGGAGTGAATTGCATCATGGTGTTTTTTTTTTTTGTTTTTTCACAGATGGTGCCCAACTGACTCTACTATACTGTACAGTCAACAAAATCAAGAACAAGCAACGCGTCTGAGCGAAATTAAAAAATATAAAATGCCGACAATTTACTCATCGCACCCTGTATTAACTACTGGATTGAGTGCATTGCCAAAGAAGGCAATTATGTTGAAAAATAAATGTTTGAAATAAATACTTTTTATCATTAGACTACGACTTGGTGATGTGTGTTAATCACTACTGAATTATGTGCATTGACAAAGGAGATTATGCTGAAAAATAAATAGTTGTTTTTGTAAAATGTTTTTTCATCATTTCGTTACGGACTTACTGATCTACCGACATGTGCTGAAATGTTCTCGGCCTGCCCAAGGAAGGGTTATTTCTTTTTAAATAAATGCTTTTTTATCATTAGGCTACGGATTTATTGATATATCTATTTATTTAACACTGAATTAAGTGCACTGACAAAGGAGATCTTGTTGAAAAGTAAATGTTGTGTAAAATAAATGTTTTCATCATTACGCTACTGACTTATTGATGTACCTATTTACTCACGACTGACTTATGTACACTAGCAAGAGAGGTGATTATGTCGAGAATAAATATTTATTGTATAAAATGCATGTTTTTTCATCATGTGGCTACGAACTTATTGAGGTACTTATGCAAAGTAAGTAATAGGAGGAGGAAAGAAGGAAAATAGTGATTACAGGGCGAGAAAAGAACACAGAAAAAAAGCAAATGGCTGCCTAGAAGATAAGGTTGACAAACAGCATCAAGGAAATGCTGGTGAATCTTAATCGGAAGCCCTTCTAGTCGTTATCGCTTGTTTCCTGAAATGGCATTAGAAGTTTTGATAATTGAACTGAAGATTGTTTTGTGACTGGATGTCAGAAGAGACAGAAAATTGTACAGTGTTTGAAGTTGGAACGAAAGAACACCTTTGCTCGAGACAAAAGCAAGAAAGAAAGGTAGGAAATGAAATAAAAGGAAAAAGAAACAGTAGGAAATAAAGAAAACGTTATTTTTTTTTGTTTGTTTTGATTTTTAACTGCATATCAACATCTCTATGGGTCATTTAATGCCGAAATTTAATTTTCTTGGTAGCATTAGTAATTTCTTTTAGAAAATATATTGCTGGTAATATTTTAATATGAAAATGTACTGCTGGCACCTTCAGTATAAAAAATGTATTTGTACACTTTCATAGCGTTTTGACCCGAGTTCAGAGCTTAACTATTTGTCTATAGCTGGGCACCTAACAGGTGCTACCACCTCGGGTCAGGTTGGACCTGTGAACACGCACCTAAAAACAATCCTATCAGAGACCTTGCTGTCGGATGTAGTTTATCGTTGTACCTAGGACGTAGAAAACGTTTAGAAAAAATAGGAAAACGGAGGGAGCTCCTCTACGAACGAGAAAATGGAAGAAAAATTGAAGAAAGAAAGGAAAATTATGCATTAAATGAAAACAAATATAGAAATGAATTTAGGAATTTAAACGCAGTACAGTATTCTTATCATATTTTGCAGTGGAAATGACTAGATGGAACCGTAAGTTCTATGCTGGCAGTTTCTTTCCTCGCCCTTCTCTGTTTGAGAAGCTCTCTTCCGGCTTTCCAGTCAACTTTGATCATCAAAACTTTAAATGCAATGTCAATAGTTATCTTCTGTTTTCTTAATTCCTATTCTTTTATTGTCCACTCATTGGTTTATAATTACAATGTTTTTCTTTTTTCTGTTTTTTTTTCTTTCGTTATTTTCTTACACTCCGTAAGCTTTTGCGTCTTAGTGACTTTATTACCTTCCTTGAGGTGAAATGTTTAAAAAGATGAGTAGAAACTGTTTGGTCTCTAAAATCGATAAAATATTATGAAATTCTGAATTGAAATGAATGAATTGTTAATTTAAACTAATTTTCACTTTCTTTTTGTTATCTTTTTATCGCAATATTCCAGGTTGACATAGTAAAACAAAAAACATTCTGATGTCAAAAATAGCTTTCGACAACACTTTAGCACACATCGACTACAAAAGACAAGCTCGAGATTAATAGGAACAGTATCGAAATCCTCTTCTTGTGATTGCAAGATGTCACTTTTTTACGACCAAAGAATGGATCAGCTGAAGACGTTGTTAGAAAAAGAAAAAATTAATGAAAAATGAATTATCTATTAATTACAGAAAAAATTCAAATTGTTTCTCTTGAATTCTACTGGAAATGCGAATTTGGCTCTCTGAAGTTTCTAATTTTCCAAATAATAAAAAAAGAAGAACGATGCTAATCTACAAGTGGGGAGAGCAGGTTTGAATCCTGCCGATGGCAACGTTTCCTTTATTCTTTGAGTTCTCAGACCGATAGACGAAAGAAACACTTAAAAAAATGGAGCGTCTACTTAAATAGGAATAAGCACTTCAAATAATGTTTAAAATAATAAAAAAATATTCGGGTTAAAGAATAAAATCCTTTTATTCTTTTGAAATTGCATTGATTTCGTTTCGTATACGAAACAGAGCAAACATGGCTTTCAATAAAATCTGAACGGGTGAATGTGCATTAATGCATATATATATATATATATATATATATATATATATATATATATACAGATAGATAGATAGATATAGATATATATTATTTAATATAACAGACAATGAATTTTGTATTATGTCTTATCATGAACCGATCTAATATTCGAATGTTTGCTTCAATTTCGGGGGAAAATAAAGACACAAAAAATGTCCAACATTTGGATATTTTGGTCCTAAGCTTTCGGCTCACATGAGCCATTCTCAATGTGGTTATACAGATATGACACAAAGATATCGACCGTCAAAGATGATATTTTGTTATTTTGACATAGAAGATTGCTATGCGATGATAACAGTCGCGGAATAGCAGACGCAGATCGTAAGTTCAAGATGCGGTTCTATGATGTCATACCACGTGATAGACTGAAGTATTACAACAGAACCAATGTCTAGATGCATTGTAATGTGTTGTGACTAGTTTGAAATGTAATTTTGTTGAGTGTGGGTTGCTTCGTTTTAATGTAGATGGCCTCCAATTTCTGAAGCTTCTTTTTACTGCGTGTATGTGTGAGTATCATTGTGTTATCAACTAATATCTGTCTAATATGTACATGGCTATGTTTTTCTAAGAAATGTTGCTTAATAGAACTAAGATCAGAAAGGTGACAGGTAAGTCTACGGGAAAGCGTGGTTGTAGTAAAACCAATAATGTAGCGGTTTTATTATTAGTATCAGAGATACAATCTCTAAACGGGCATGTAAATTGATACACTACATTGTTTTGTTTTGTTTTGTTTTTTTTTTGTAGAGGATTTAGTTGTGTGGCTGTAGGGATATTAAAGAATAAGAGGTCAATTGTTTGTTTTGACGGTGGATATCTTCAAGAACCAACGAAAGATGGAACAGTAGAGGGGAAAAGTGCATCAGGAGGTCACAATAGAAAGAGGGGTCATCATTTCAGATTAGAGCTAAATACATTCTTATTGTTCCAAGTAGAGTCCAATAATGCTATAAAACATTGAAGAACTCCAATAAGATATATTTAATCATTTCTAAAATACAACGGTTCAAAGCTTAATATAACAATTAGACAATTTTGTTATTACACGCGGTATATATATATATATATATATATATATATATATATATATATATATATATATATATATATATATAAAGCATTCCTCCCCACCCCGAGGTTTAGCCCAAGGCTTTCGATAGAAACCCCGATTGGCAAAGCGCGTTTTGATTGTGATATTACAGGATTTAAAAAGAAATTGAGACGAAAGAAGGAAAAGCATTGTAATTTGGATAGATAGATAGATAGATAGATAGATAGATAGATAGATAGATAGATAGATGTTCTTGTTAACGGAATTATATAATGGAAGGGGAGAGAAAATATAAACGAAAATTTTGGTTTATAATTACATGTTTTTTCTCTCCAATAATTCTATTGCGACTTCAAACTTTATTATAGTGGGTACTTCGTACTTGAAATAGACGCCCCCATAAGTATCCAATATAACACTTGAAATAATAAATATATTGAGTTAAAAATAAATTCATTAATATTTAGAAATAATTCCATCATGAGGAAAATTACTTTAGTTTGATTAAGTCTTTTCAGTGGATGTTTTTTCCCATCTTGTCATTCAATTACCAGACATTGTTCTGATATATAGAAAGTTATTTATCATATTCTCTCATATATATATATATATATATATAGAGAGAGAGAGAGAGAGAGAGAGAGATTATATAGAAAGTTATTTATCATATTCTCCCATATATATATATATATATATATATATATATATATATATATATATATAGAGAGAGAGAGACTAGATAGGGCAGACTAGGAGTAAAAAAAAGAAAGAAAGAAAGAAAATAAATAAATAAGGCAGTTCATATGTCAATAAAGATGAGGACAACAGTCCGAACAATGTAAATAGTGTAAATAATTATAATATCTCATCTCAGAAATATAGACAGTTATCTATCTATCTATCTATCTATCTATCTATCTATCTATTTCAGTTTGTTTATATCTATACATCTATCTGTCTACCTCATTCTGTTAATATCTTTATTTCTGTCTGTCAATCTCTCTCTCTTTCTCTGTGTGTGCGCGCGCGCGCACGTGTGTGTGCATATTTCAGTCTCCTCATATCTATCTATCTATCTATCTATCTATCTATCTATCTATCTATCTATTATTCCAGTGTGTTCATTATCTATCTATCTATCTATCTATCTATCTATCTATCTATCTATCTATCTATCCCAGTTTGTTCTTATCTATCTATCTATCTATCTATCTATCTATCTATCTATCTATCTTCTGCATTCCACCACAATATCGTTTGATGACAGCGCTTAAAACTTCCATTTTTATATCTCTCTATGTCTGTTCTCCCACAAATACTCAGCCTTAATAAAGTTCCGCTTTCTTTTTCCCAAGTACCCCTCCCCCTTGGACGTAATCCTTTCTCTGAAATCTTTTAGAACCTTTACTTTTCTATTCATTAATTCTTTTTCATACTTTTTATCGTTTATCTTTAAAGATTTTTGTCCTTCAAAAATCTTCCTATCACCTGTTTAGAAAGCGTCTTAAAATGTCTTCCACATTTTATTCGTCTATATTTTTCAGGTTTTAAGTCCAACTTTTCCTTCTTTTTTTTATTCATTTTTTTTTTAAATTTATTTGCTTTGTTCTTTTTTCTACGTAAGCATTGATGATACGTTATTTATTTTTTCTTTGAATTTCTCTTTTATTGATTCATTCTTTCTTTCTTTTTTCTTCTTCTCTTAAGCAACTGCATTTTTCATTGTTTGACTTAGCTTATTTTTCATTTAGTCCTTTCGCTTTTAGATTCTTCCTTTCTTTCATTTATTCATTGCATAATTGTATTCTTCCTTTTATTCTTTGATTATTTATTTAGATATAGGTTTTTATTTGTTTCTTTTTTCTTTTATTGTGCAATTGTATTCTTCCGCAGTTGTTCAACTTTCCATTCTTTTCTACCTTTCTATTTTCTTTGTTTTTTAAGTTTTTCTTTTTTTTGTTTCATTGTTTCTTTCATTTATTGTTTACTTTGTTTCTTCGGGGCTTTTCTTTGTCATTTTCTTTATCTTTCACTTTTCATTTCTTAAATTTTCTTCGAATTTCTTTCGCTATTCAGTAATAGTATCCTTTCTCATGTCATTGTTCGACTTCCTTTCTTATTAGGCATTCGATAATTTATTCATGAATTCATTCATTTCTTTTTTTCTGTTTCTCTTTCAATATTCGTAAAATATACTATCATCTTTATTTCTTTCGTTTCATTTAATTTTTCTTCTTTCATTCCTTCATTCATATCTTTCCTGATTATTCTTTTTTGTTTCTTTCACTCATCGCAGTTTTTTCTTTTAATAACAAACTTCTTTTTTCCCAGTTTTTTTTTTTTTTCATATTCTGTCGCTTATCTCGTCTCCTATTCAATTCGAATTGCCTTTAGAAAAATGGCAGTTGTCATAAGATTTTTTCTTCTCTATGTATAACATTATACGTTAGCTTTTTAAAATATAAACATTCACAAAGATACGTTTTAAACTTTCGTTTATTTCGATTTTTTTTTATTCAGCTTAAAGTATTTATCAGTTTTTAAATCATTTTTCCTTTCAACTTTCTTATGTAAAAAGCAGTCATTCATCTCTTTTTCTTTGCATTGGCTTTTTACTTCTGACTTGATCTGCCAACTTTGTCACTTGTCAGCACTTTAATAAAAATTACAATCAAATTTATAATGGAGGTGGGAATCACCAATCAGAATTTGACGTCATCGCTCACACCCCCTACACTGCACGTTCCTTTCTTCTTCCCGTATATACCATGTACATCTATCTATCTATCTATCTATCTATCATCTCTATCTATCTCAGTCCATATCTATCTATATCTATCTATCTATCTCAGTCCATATCTATCTATCTATCTATCTATCTATCTATCTATCTATGTTCTATCTGTTCATCTATCTATCTATCTATGTTCGCCTATTCATCTATCTATCTATCTATCTATCTTCTATCTGTTCATCTATCTATCTATCTATCTATCTATCTATCTATCTATCTATCTATGCAATCATTTCTATCTATCTATCTATCTATCTATCTATCTATCTATCTATCTATGTTCCCCTGTTCATCTATCTATCTATCTATCTATCTATCTATCTATCTATCTATCTATCTATCGCAATCAGTTTATATCTATCTATCTATCTATCTATCTATCGCAATCAGTTCATATCTATCTATCTATCTATCTATCTATCTATCTATCTATCTATCTATCGCAATCAGTTTATATCTATCTATCTATCTATCTATCGCAATCAGTTCATATCTATCTATCTATCTATCTATCTATCTATCTATCGCAGTCAGTTCATATCTATCTCCTTTTTTTTCTTTCTAACGATGCAAAAACAGGCCGTAGAGTAGAACGGTCAAACGGGCATGCTAATCAAAATAATAATGAATATTATAATAATACTTTCTCAAAAAAAAACCGGCATAAAAAGAAAAAAAATCTGAGTAAAACAAACCAGAAATAAATTGCTAAAAAGTAGAATTTGTATGCATGAGAAAATGAAGAAAGAAAATACAGATTTACAAAGATGAAAAGAAAGAAAGGTGATTTTAAAAGTGGGCCTCCACGGATAAAACCTAGTGAAATTGTAAAAAGTTTTATCATGAAAGCGAATATCGCAGAAAACCGATTAAATTGTTTGCATCAGCCTCGTAATATCTTTCCACGATGCTTGTTTTTTTTTGTTTTGTTTTTTTTTCCTTTATTTATTTTTGTCATTTTTAGAAATAATAAAATGGAGAAATGGCGTAGCCGCCTGTTGATGACAAACTGGAATAGCGATCAACCGGCATGACCTACAAGTAACCAATCCGAGCTGCCGAGATATTCGCGCGATCTCTCTTAATCATTCTCGCCTCTTACGGTCTACGGGCAGTAGTGAAAAACAGAAGGTATATTTTCTAACAAAGTCGCAAAAAAGAAAGAAAAGAGTGTAGTGTATATATATATATATATATATATATATATATATATATATATATATATATATATATATATATATATATATATATATATATATATATATACATACATACATACATGTTACATAAATATTTTTCTTTTCGCTCGATGTGGATTGTTTTAATTGGCATACTGAGATAATTGTGTATTTTTTACCAGTCCGCAGGTCAGGGTTCAAACTCAAATAAAAATGAAGGATTGTTGCTTTTCTAAACAGTTAATGTAGGAAGCTGACGCAGTACAATCTTCTCGTTGTTATCATCTTTAAACATGATATTGTATCTTACTAGCCTTAGTAAATGCGTTCAATGTCCTCTCCGGAGTTAAAATAGTCATGTATTTACAGCAAGGGTCAGAGGTCAGTGTCCAAGTAAAAAAGTCACACTTTCATATGTTGAATTCCTAAACAGTTTACGTGTAATAATTATTTTTTTTATATTTTTATATATACTTTTATTTCAACTACAGCAACGATTATTATTATTATCATTATCATTATAATTATTATTATTATTACTGAAATTTGCATGGTAATGTTTTCAAACATGTGAAATACCTTTTAAGTGACTGAAAACGTCAGACATAGGCACTTATTACAGGATCTTGCTGGACATATGTTTGTTTATTCTGTCTTCATTTGCAATATTGTTACGTTGAGTGCGTTTCCGATGATAGCAAGGTGTTTTTCGAGCGTCTTTGGAATCGGTCCAAAGGCTCCAATGACAATTTCTTTCAACATCTAACCTCTACGTTGCATAGTTCACTGTCGTTTCAATTTCTTTACGCGCATTTATTACCAATCATGAGATTTTTTTTTAATGATCAGTGTTACATCTGATCTGGTCTAATGTGTTGAATAACTCAGTCTGAATTATTTAACTTAATTTTTTTTAATCATTTCACCCCCAAGCAAGGCGATGATGCCACTAAGACTGAGAGTGAAAGAAATTGCGAAAACTTTAGCGATGAGAAAGGACAATAAATGAACAAGATTCAGAGACAGAAAATGACGATTGATGATACATATCCATTTTCTGGAGATCGTATATGGCAAGAAAGCAAGAAGCAGGAAGACAGTTCCACGGGAAAGAGGTGCGAGAAAAAACCCATTAGAATAGAACTTAAGGTTACATCTATCTATTTCAACAATAAAATGATGAGACCTAATTGCCAATCTAGTAATAAGCTTAAATTCAGGCGGTCGAGGTAACAAGATGAACATTAGAACAATTGCATAAAACTATTTATAGGAAAGATACAGGGAAACCATTTCCATGCTGTGTGAAAGTGACTGAAGTTGAGACCCCATTACAGACCCGTTTTCGATTTTCTCAAGAATCTCGAGACATAGATCAGACGTACCACACCACAGTGTAATTCAATACACGAAAGAGCAAATATATAAACGTTCAATATGGATTCTGGCTAGAAAATTGTCGAGCACGACACAGTGAACCAAATTTCTTAACAGCGGATATAACAATTGATTCAATGTAATCATTTTAATTCAAAGTGAGAAAACGTGAGACTAAGAAGTCGCAATGAGTCGTTCTCCTAGAAGTTAGCATCAGACTAAAAAATAGCAAACAGTAGTTTCATTTTGGGTTCTCTACAATTATTATTATTATTATTATTATTATTATTGATTTCTGGCGTTTACACATTTCTTTCCTAAGGTTAGAGATGGCATCATGACACTTTCCACTGACAAAAAAAAATACATATATATATATATTACAAAGAAGAGAAGTGCCGCAAACGTTTTTGGTTGTAATGTGGATTTATTTAGAAAAAAATATTATGCTTTGTTTTTTCTAAATAAATCCACATTACAACCAAAAAACGTTTGCGGCACCTCTTCTTTCTTTGTAATATATATATATATATATATATATATATATATATATATATATTTAAATAGGTTAGAAACGGTACAAAAAGCGTATTAAGGCATTAAAAACTAGAAATGTTGTATTGCAGGCCATGATAAGTTTAAAATAAAACACACACCAGTCGACCGGTTTCGTCCCTCTCGTCAGAACTGTTAACGGGGAATTTAGATTATGAGGAAAAAAAAAAAAAAGTCTGTCATGGGTGACATGAATGAATGGACAGGGAAGGAAGGAAAGATAAAATTATACCAACCAAGCTGCTAGAAGCGCAGAACAGCAAGTCCAAGCAAACAATCTCTTTGTTTGCAAAGAGAAACCGCTTGGACCTGATGTAAAGCGATTCCAACACCTTTGAGATGGAAAAGTGAGTGCGAACTGGCCAAGACGGAAAACCAGTTCACACTGAAATCCATCGCACAAGTTGGATTCTTTATAAAATGATCCGCAATCGAAGACCCATAAGTGTTACGAATGGTATCGCCCAAAGAAAATTTTTTGTTTAGTATTATCGCAGGTACGTGTTGTTTAATTCTCACGTCCAACCGCTGTGTCGTTCTACCTATGTAGTCGCATCCACAACTACATTTGAAATAGTAAATAACAGAGTTAATATGGTGGGGGGGGGAACATCTTTACACATAGATGGAAGTACAGACCTAGTTTGAAAAACAACACGAACGTTCGCTGCAAAATAACACTCACGTGAACTACATGAAATACGCTTGGCGAAGGATTCACTAATCCTACCCAACCACGGTAAACGAAGATAGACCGGACATTTACCAACTGAAGCAGGTTTGATTTTGTTGAACCTAGCGGTCTCATCTCGAATAACCGATTTTATAAAGAATCCAACTTGTGCGATGGATTTCAGTGTGAACTGGTTTTCCGTCTTGGCCAGTTCGCACTCACTTTTCCATCTCAAGGTGTTGGAATCGCTTTACATCAGGTCCAAGCGGCCTTCTCTTTGCAAACAAAGAGATTGTTTGCTTGGACTTGCTGTTCTGCGCTTCTAGCAGCTTGGTTGGTATAATTTTATCTTTCCTTCCTTCCCTGTCCATTCATTCATGTCACCCATGACAGACTTTTTCCAGCTTTTTCCTCATAATCTAAATTCCCCGTTAACAGTTCTGACGAGAGGGAAACAAACCGGTCGACTG